CCCCAAAACCCCAAAACCCCAAAACCCCAAAACCCCACAAAAGAAGCTGAAGATTGAACTTATAAACTTTTAGAACAAATAATGGATTATATTGGGGCATTCCCAGAAAACTATTCATTTGAAGGAGATAGTCAATCCTTTGACCAGGTGAGGTGACAGATCTTTAGGGGGAATAAAGGTTATTCATATGCCGTAAAGTTCTTGCTAATAGGATACTTCAGAAATTATTCTTTCTTTGTTCGATATAACCTAAGTAATGTTTTCATCGTGGAAATTAAACAGAAGCTTTTTTATAACAACATCAGTTTCTTGTATTAATAAAAGGTTTAACAGTAGTTAATCATTGAAGTCAAAATTTAAGATCCCTAATTGTGTTAATTAGAGCAATTTTAACGATATTCCTGATGAAGAATTTCTCAATTTTCTAAAAGAAATCAACAAGTCGCATGAGGAAAATCTTCATATCCCAACGATAAAATGGACTTTGGATAAGGTTGGCATGAACGAGAAAATGATGCTTCCCGATACACATCCTGATGATTTATTTGGAGAGGAGTCCACTTCAGGGATGGAGACTAAGAAATTTTCTGAAAATTCTTTGAATCCAAGTATCCCAAAAGTGATGAAGAAGACTTGTAAGAAGACCGAAGGCTCTTCGAGGCCAGATATTGAAAACAGAAAGGCATTGAGGATTGTGAAGAAGTTCTTTCATCAACTGTTTCTTTATCATAACGACAAGCTTAAAAATAAGAGATTTACTAGGGTCAGTTTGTCAGAGATTCTTGAAGCCCTTGAACAATTGGTATCTGTATACATCCCCCAAACTCCTTCAAAAGAGATGGCCGAGTGTTTGTTTCATTTCCTAAACTTTCACTCTTCAGATGCATCCCAACTAGAATCAGAAGCTGCATTAGCCGGAATGAAACTTTATGAATGCACTCATAAATATACAAGATATCTTTTCAACCGTTTACCCCAATCAGTCTACGTCAAACACCTAATAACATCATACACAACTCTCAAATGCACTCCTCTCCCTTCCATCCTCTCCCTCCACCACTCCCAAACCTGGCCTCACCAATACCACAAAAATCCCAAAAACCTGAACAAAATCCTCACTCACCTTCTCTACCAAAAAACCCCTCCCCCAATCCAAGCCAGCCTGACCAGACTCCACGATCTCTGCCTGTCCCCTCCAAGTTTAAAATAATTTTTCCCTAAAAATTCCACTAAGTGCCTTGTCAGCCCACTTTGTTCTGCGACACTACTAAAAGTTTGTTCTGTGGAATGCTTCTTGTGGGGCAAGGGAGGTTGGGAGGAGAGGGGGAAAGGGAGGATTTGGGAGTGGGACTGGGGATTTTGGGGGAAGAGGGGTAGAAGGGAGTTTAGGGGGATTGTGAGGGGTTATAAGGGGTTAGGAGGGGTTTTAGGGGTGGTGTTTAATGGTGGGGGATTTGGCTCTTGAGGAGATTTTTTGGCAAGTTTAGAGTTTAGGATCCAATTTAGGAGATAATAAAGAATAATTGCTTGGGAAACAATTTAGATACACACTCTCTTCTCTTAAGTCTAGAGGTTAAAATTTATGTAAAAGAATTTTATTACAGGAAATAGCACATTTACCAATATCAATTAAATTCGGGCAATTAATGATCAAATGTTGGTCATCCAATAACCCAGACCTCAGGAAATGCTTGAAATAAAACATCATGGTAGTCTGTTCCTTATCATCAGATATCCTAAATAAAATTCGATAAGATAACTCTAAGTTTTCCATGAAAACGAATTCATTCAGTCTGATATGAATGGGTTGATAATGGTGCAATTTAAAAAATAACAGAATAAGCTTAAGCAAGAGTGTATGCCCATAAATTTACAGATCTTCTTAAATGCTAGTGTTTATCTAGTTGAGAGTCAATAAAATTACCATTTACTCGAAAGTAAGGTGTCTACAGTGCATTAACCGAACATATTATATTTCGATGAACAAAATCTTAACTTAAGAGTACTCTCTCAGATTCTGTTATTTTTAACATAATCTTGTCTCAAAATGTGTTCCTTTGTGGGATTATGCTCCTCCTAGGATTCATAGTAAAGCTTTTAGATTAATGAACATATTAAAATTATGAAATTCTCCCAATTTTTGTATCCGTAGTGGATGACTGGATTGGATTATCAAGTCCTTTAATTAAGAAAAATATGAATTGAAATGTCAAGTTTAGACGTTATATTTGCTAACACAAGCCAACCTTGCTTACTAAACAAATCAGTTGAGCCTTTTCATAACATAAAGGAAAGATTATCGAGCTCTGTAGATATGTGACTTTCTGTCTACTTGCTCACTTTAAAGTTCATATTTCTATCCAAAATTTACTTCCAAAATTTTTAAGAGTGGATCTACAAAGATGCTTCAAGAAAGAACACAAGAAGTTAACCAGGAAGTGAGTAATAAATAATAGTTGATTTTTAGTGAATATTTGCTAATTTATCTTATTTGAGGTAAAATAATTCTAATATCCTCTTTTTAAGAGAAATGATATAACTTAACTCTCTATAAAGCTATTTCCCGTTAATAATAAATTTTGAGGACATATCAACTGTAACAGCTCATTCAAGAATTTTAGCTGAAATAGCTGATAATTAATTTAGTACAAAAAAGAGAGGAAGTTTATCGGAATGCTCTATTTTTGGGAGTTATTTTAGATGATAGTGATCCTTAGGATACTTTTGGGTTATAAAGGTCTGGCTAGAAATGATAATTTAGTATGGGGCTCTTCTGGGTATTAGAAATACCACTTTTCGACATATTAAAATCAAAAATTTCTTATTAAATGACTCAATTCTTCAATTATAAAACTCTTCTAATATACCTTTCAACCATAACCAATAGTCCCGGGGTTTTGGGGTTTTGGGGTTTTGGGGTTTTGGGG